TTTGCTTTCTGCCTTTCACCGGATTGCCTCTGCCTTTTGAGTTTCTTCATTGGCCGAGAGGTTTGGTTATTTGAGTACTTGTAGTCGAGACGGAGGCATAGTGTTAGATGTTAGAATGATGATTGAATGTTTTTGCTTTCTCTGCTCTACTGTTGTTTGGCTAATAATTAGAAGTGTTAGAAATTAGAATAATGAATTGATGATTTAATTTAATTATATTATTTTAATATCACCTGTCCGACCCTGGTCTGACAGTGACCCTTGACCCACTACTGCCTTGACTGGTTTAGTCCCCGGTCCGGTTTTTTTGTTCCTTTTGGGGCATTTAATGCTCTTTTAAAGGGGAATTTATAGATTTACCCCCAAAAATAAATCATATTTCTTTTTTATCACACACCAAGATATTCTTTTAATTCTAAGGTAGAATGGAAAAGTTTTTTTTAATCCTTTTTATATGTCACTTCAATATTTTCTCACTGACAAATATTTTTATTTTATAATTGTCATTTTAATTATTTTTTAACAGTTATCACATTATTATCATATAATATAAAACACTACAATTCAATAAAGCTAATATCCTTTTTAGTCATTTTACTTTTAAATTTACTTTTCTATTAATCCTCCAAACAAGTTTCAACTTTTTCAACTGACTTTTTATAAATGTCAATTCAAACATAAATCACATTATACTAATTGATTTTTATTTTAATTTAAAAAGTTAGTTGAATTAAAAGTCAGTTTTGCCACTATTAATCCAAACACATCCTTCCCTGATGACAACTAGCTTTTGGGATTCTTTGATAAGCCATCTATTGCTCTTTTTTTTCCCCCTCCAAAAGAAAAAGATCAATCTATTCATAAGATAAAACGGCACAGAACAAACTTCGGCCATATTACATGACACTAGGACAAACTCATTGCAAACGAGGCCTAGGCTTTATGCTTCAGGATATCCATAGAACTTATAAAATATAATTGATATAAGACAACATAATTATTAGTGTCTTGTCAAAATGTAAGCTTCAAATAATTAAATTACACAACTTAAAAAAGTTAGTTAAATTTGATTAAAGGTAATAAATATGCCAAAAATGTAATTTATTTTTCTAAAACATCTTTATTTATGGAGGGGATGAGTGGGAGAGAGAATGGGTGAAAACAAGATGTTAGAGAATAAATGGAAAAAAAAAAAAGAGAGAGACATTTATTTAATTAGGGGTAAGCATAGAAAAAAAATACATCAAGTGATTAGATGAATTCAAATCGAAGCTTATTAAAAAAAAGTTAGACTTATTCAAAGATTCAACTTATATTTTAAATCAGGGGAGTATAATATTATTAAACAATATAAAATTCAAATTAAAAATTATCTACAAGTGCCCGTTGAGAAAATTAAATACACAGAAGTAGTAAGGAATTAAATATTTTTTGTTACAAAATTGACCTGTAAATGGTATAACTTAATTTGCAAATATGGAAGTCTGACTTGTAAATATAAATTGTTAAATTTGACTTGTAAATATATATATATATATATATATAACTTGTAAATATGAATTTTTTTGGGGATATTTTTGTATTTAATTTTCTTACCTAAACCCTATTGGTAATTTTCCTAAATTTATTTATTTTTCTTGGATTAATGAAAGTATAACTTGTAATTTATGGAAGCCCTCTCTTCGAGCACTTTGTAGGGTGGGACATTACTGAAAAAATAGGGCTGCCCTTATGTGATCATCATTGAAAAAATAGGGCTGCCCTTATGTGATCATCATTTCAAATTTAGAAAAGTTGGCTTTGTCAACTAGGATGGTATGGCCAACGAGATTAGGTCTGCTAGAAGGAAGTATTTTCTTATAACATGGTGAGCTAATGTTTAAATTTTTATTGGGAGAAGTGTTTACGTTTAGTGTTTGATAGTGTCTCAAATAAGATTATCTCTAATAAGAGAATACCTGTGCTTAACAAAAAAAAAAAGGTTAAAAATCGATCTCAATAATTGAGCATGAAATGAGCCCAAGGAGTCAAACTGGAATAGTGATATGAAATAAATTAATTCTAATGAACTCAAGGACATATGAGATTTAGTTTGATTTTAAGAATAAGATCTCAATTCAATTTATCTCTAATATTTATTCATTTTGTCCCCAATCCCAACATCAATAGGTAGTTCTAATTCACATAATTAATATTTAATAAGAGTATTTTAAGAAAGAAAATATTCATTTAATACAAATAATTACCTTAACTAATTTCATTAATATTTACAAATTAGTTATCTACTTCTTATATTAAAGATTAAAGTTAGTATTATTCAATCAATCAATGAGGGTTGGGTCTAGCAGAAGGGAGTAACCTCTCACAACATGATAAACCAATGTTTAAATTCTTATAAGGGGATATATCTACATTTAGTGCCACACAGTGCTGCGAATAAAATTACATAGAGGATGTTTGTGCCTAGCAACAAAAAAAAGTATTATTCAATAAAATAAATTGGGGTGGGGAAAAAAAAAAGGCAGTTAACTGTCTTAAAGAGTATATCGAGCAATTAACTGTCAATCACTGGAGAGTTGCGCCACAAATTTGTGGGTTATACCGAGCTGTTATCTTTCTTAGGTGGATTGAAATCGTGCATTAAAATTGTGGGTGGTTTTGGGACTAAATTAAATTAAATTTGCAATATTACATTTTTTGGGAAAATTTAAAAATATTATACTTCCCCTAACTAAACTTTCTACATTTTCTCCCTCACTCTATTTTTAAAACTCATATAAATTTTTAAATTTCACTAAATTAAACGGGAATTATCTCAATTTTTACAAATTACATAGATAGCAATTGAAATAAAATAACCTAAGCATGGTTTAATTTGGTCAAAATTATAATTTTAGTTTTAAAATTGACGCAAAATTTAATTGAAAATAAAAAATATATAATTTTTTATAACTCTGTCTAGAAAATAAAAAATAATTTTAAACAATTCAAAGGAATTTTTATAATTTAATTTTATTTCAGAATAAATTTATGTGAGTTTAACAATAAAAAATCCATGTAATGTTAATATAGTTTAAATAAAAAGTCTAGATGGTCTTTGATTTTTTTTTAACCTGTGAAAGTGGTACTCATGATTGCCTCTTCGGCAGAATGCATGTTTGTAAGCCAAAAAATTATTGTAGCAAGACTTTTAATATAATCAATAAAATCTTCATTAAATTATAATATAAGCAAATATAATAATGTTTCTTATTCTTTTGTGGGGAATAAGCTTTCCTAACATCTTAATATACTAATTGCTAAGGTATCAGATAAAAAATTTAACATATTCTAAATTGGTCTATTTTACATATTGAATAAAATTTTTCGTAGTGGTATGCCCTTTGTTGTAATTCATTTAAGTAGAATATGATTTCTTTTATTTTTCTTAATTTTTTAAGTATCTACTCTTATATTTATATAGATATGTAATTATATATGGATTAAATGGCTTTTGTTAAGTGATTTTGAGGAGTGAGACTTATAATACAAAAAAACAATATTGAGCTCTACCAAAATCCCATAATCTATTTATAAACTATAAATTATAAATAATATCACTCGTGCCTCACAATCTCATGAGAGATACATTATTTTGTACATAATTTAAGATCTGACTAATTTTAAATTGATAGAGATTATATTAGTTTTTTATTAATATGTTAGGATGTTTTAATTTTTGACATTATCTAAGTAACATTTATTTTGGTCATTTGAGCCTACACGACTTATTCTGATAAGATATGTAACGTGTTTAACTTTTCGTTTTGGTGAATAAATTTGATTATATATATATATATATATATATAAAGTCAGACGATATAAATCAAGGAAAAAAACTTAATGATATAAATGGATACTCCGATGTATAAATAGCTATATTAATAATTACGTTTATAACAAAATCCTGTCGTGAATGATTGACAAATTTAATTTTGGAGGAAAATAATATTCATATTCTTTCTAAACTAAAATGTGGGAGAGATTGAAGGAGAGAATATCGGAGGTTTAATTAGGACAAACCGCCCTTAGTATATGTATTATGTTTACTAAAGTTGTTAGGCTATGAGGGATTCCAAGTTCAGCCATCTAATAATACGTGAACCAGTCTCACTAATATACATGGACGGATTAAAATGAAAAAAAAAAAAAACTAAGGGGCCGTTATGAGGAAAAGAGAAGTAAAAGGAGGGGAGAAAAAATTTTAATAAGCTGGATTTAAAAAATTAAAGAAGTGGGATTAAAAATTTTTAATTAATCCTTATTACTCTTTTATATTATATCTTCTCTTTATTAAAATTTTAAAACCCCACTTCTTCAATTTTTTTTTTAAAATTGAGCTGATTAAAATTTTCTCTCCCCTCCTATTGCCTTAATTTCCTTCGTACCAAACAAGCCCTAAATAAACAATTTTTTTTTTTTTTGTGGAGAATTACTATTAAAAGTCGGAGGAACTGGAAGGGGAGGAGGAGTCCGGAACTAGTAACTCTAGTCATAGAGTTCTTAGAAATGTTAAATTAAAATAATAAAATCCCAAAACAAATCAAATCCTAATTTATAATATTAAAAGATAAAATAATAATAAATAACTCAGTAAATCCTAATTCCAATGGATAAATATATATCCTTATTCAGATCCCTAATATTAAGATTCTAGTACATCACCACTAATTTAAACCATGCTTAAGAATCCAATAAAGGGTTAAGCACAGCTCCAATGAAGAACACTGCCTTGGAAGTCTCTTCCCTCATCATAAAGACGAAGGGATGGTCAGCCACAAAGCTTGTGTCCGGCGCACCCGACCAGAAATCAGAGGAGGATGCAGCTTCTGCTCCTTCTTCATCGACTGCAACTAATGCTTTGTGCAGAATTTTTGAAACGTGAAGCTTGTCATTGGAGAAAGAATCTGACACTTCTGTTAGCTCCGCAGGGGTGAAAGGCAGAGTAAGTCCCAATTCTCTCATGGCCTCTTCGGCTTCCAGATTGTAGGAAACTTAAATTTCGGGATCCAAAGTTCAGCAATTTGCTCTCTCCTTAGCTCAAAATTTTGATTTAGAAATCTGGGATTTGAGTTTAAAGTGTGAATTAGATTTGGTAAGCCGTGCTTCCCATGTGGAAGAAAGAAATACATGGCGAACTTGAAAGGGTTGCTGCCACATTGGTAAGGGATGGAGAGTATTGTATAATTCTCAAAGGAATTGAAATGATTCTCAAAAGATCTGTAATAATATGATCCCCACTTCTTAGAGGTCATGAATGGAACTTTTACGTTCTCTCCATTAAGAAGATTGAAACTTCTAGTTTCAGTCATAGTCGAATCAAACTTTTTATCCCATGCTCCTTTGAAATATAGAGCATTGGCAAGAACTAATGTTGTCTTCGGACTTAAGGAACCTGATGGAAGAATATGCATTATGACTCCATTAGTTGCGTTTTCGACCCACCAGTTTGCTTCTTGTGCAACTTCCTCAGCCTAGTGAACAAAATCCATAGAACATGTCAAATTAAAGCTTTGCACTTTTCTGTACATAGGTCAAGTTTGATGAGGAAACATGTAAAAGGTTGCAATCAAAGAGGAAAACAAAAGAGAGAGTTAAGTGCAGGCGAAGAACACAAAAATGAATAATCAAAATAGTACCTTGTTGGTGAAGTCAACCGCTTCAATTTGGCTTTTGTACACATTTTTGACTATGTCTTCAAAACTAGTCTTCAGACCAAAAGTTTTTTCCACCCAAGCGCCATTAACAAGAGATAGGTTTGGACCTACACTTTTGGTGTCCTCGGCACGCCGTAAACGAGAAAGAAATTGTGAAGATAATGAGTTGAGTTCATCTTTACTCTTTGATCCCAGAAACGAAAGAAGCTGGTCCAAGGTTTTTCCTTTAGATCCAGCAGCCACAAGGCTCAATATGAGATGAAGAGATAATGGAGAAACCACGAAATTGGAACCCTTTTCTGTTTGTTTCTGAAGAACTTTGTATGCCAATTGCAAACAGAAGTCAGTGTTGAAGGAAGTGTTGTACGTTGAAAAGGATGCCATCCTCTCTTGAGCTTTAGTGTGTTTGTTGTAATTTACTTGACTTTCCTAATTTATAGGAGAATATGTGATGTTGGTGTGCTTAAAAGTTAAGCCATCTATTGCTTAAAATTTAAGAATATGGTTAGAACACATAAAATATACTTAATATAAAACAGTAAAATTGATTTAATATTATTAAACAACATACAATTTAAAGAGAAATGTACCTTTGTGTTGTAGGTAAGAAAATTATATAGAGAAAAGTCTTAATAAATTCATTTTTATGACGTAACACGATTTATGAAAATTTGAATTATAAATACAAATATTTAAATTTGACATGAAAATATGACCTTTTCGAAATCTTTCTGCCTTCAATTTCCTTATCAGGAATTTATGGATAATTTTCCCTAATTTATTAGAGAATGGGATGGGATGGGATGCGATGAACTCAATTAATAGATATGGATTCTTCATTAAGCCATGTACTTGTCAACCTTTAAGCATATCGTTGTATATAAAATATCCTTAAACGAAACAGTATAATTGTTATAAAGCAGTATAATTATTATTAAACAACATAAAATTTGAAGAAAAGGTTACCTGTAGATCCTAGGTGTGGAAATTAAGTACAAAGAGGTCCCCAGAAATTCAGTTTTTTTCCCCCCACAAGTTTGACTCGTAAATAATATAACTCAATCCATTTGTAAATATGAAAATTGAGTACTCCCTCTGTCTCTTTTTATAAGCAACCTTAGATTAAATCATGTAGATAAAAAAATTAATTAATACTAGTTAAAGAAAATAAATGCGTAGAACTTGAAAGTTTTTTCTCTAAAATACCTTTATTTATGTGAAGGATTTTCGCAAATCGAGACAAAATCCTTCACATATTTACTTCGTATACCATAAAATCACTTTTAAAACCATGGTTTGATTCTCATTCAAACACCCTCTAAGAAAATTATTAATGAAGAGAATTATGAAAAAGAAAGAATGTATGAGGGAGAGAGATTACATTAAATATATGTTCACTGTTCAGCTTAATCGCAAGCGCAGGGGTTGCAAGTAGTATAAAAAGTATCACTCTCTCAGAGACCAAGGCTAGAGGAGTTAAAAATCACAGTTGTGCTCATGATTAGGTTAAGTAAAATTAATGTGTAAATGAAATGTTTAAGGTACTTTGAAAACAAAGGTAAAAAGGATGCAAAAATAAACTTGACTTTAAGACAAATAAGGATCTAGAATTATTTCTCACTATTGTACTTGATAAAACTTGATTAAAAACATCTCATTTAGTTCTTTAATGATAAATTAAGTCAGCCCAAAATTCACAAATATTGATTAAACTTTCTCAAGTCAAAACCGAGTTTTGTAAACTTAATATAATTTCACATTCTCTTGCTTTTGTTAAAAAGATTACACGTTGAAAACCAAAATCTTTTTTGGATAATGCTAGATCAATAGATATATCTTTAATCTATCAACAAACTATCAACGTAATAGCATAAACTTCTGATTTAGAATGTTTAATAAGTTCAAAAATTGATTTAACTTTCTCAAGTTTTAACCTATTAAACAAATCACTCCAGCCAAGTGGTGGCCAATCACAAGGAAGTACTAAACTCAAGGTAAAGACAACATAATATTAAGATTAACATTAAAGAGAGAGTTAAACAAGTCTTAATCCATACAATAGATCAAAATAACCTTAGAATGACTATTCTAGCTACACATGTTTAGCAAAAAGCCACAAATACAAGGGCATTTTGCAGCCATTGCAGAAATAATGGAGAAGAGAAGAAGAAAACTAAGGAAAATGAGGAAAGAAGCTTCAAATCTCTTGTAAACTTCAAGCCCTAAGCTCCCAAGCCTCAAAATCTCTAAACCCTAGTAGGGAACTTCTTCAAATAGGCCCCTAAGTCAAAATGTGGCTGAAAGCCACGAGTTTCCTCTTTTATATGCCCTAAATTTTAAGTTACAATACACAATGAATAGTTGGATAGGAACTGGGTGCTGCAGTGATTTAACCAACTGTGGTGCCTAGTACAAAATGCTTCTCCTTCCTTTCTGCTTCAGAGGCTATGGCAGATTGTTCTAGACGCCACAATGGATTGAGCATTTTTTGCCTTCTCTACTTGGTTCTTTGATGCTTGCTCGCTCTGCATCCATGATCTTCTTCTAATCAACCAAAGTAGGTTAAATATTATCTAGAAAATGATGTTTTGAGAAGCAAAAAATATATATTAGCTATTAAAATAAATCTTTAATAGGAGCAAAAAGTTATAAAAATTTAAGACATTTTACAAATATTACTTATATTTACAGACAATTGGAAGATGATAGTTGTTGCTTATAAAAAGGGACAAATGGATAGAGTAGTAAATATGAACTTCTGTAGATTATGATGGGCAATATATACTAATCTTTTCGACGAGTCTGGGATGTGTTCTCGTATAGAATATGAGAATGATAGCAATCTGTCACTTTATAGTCAAAATGGAATGGTCATGGTGGGGGTAGGCCGTGGGTTTAGGAATGAAGCTAAAATTTTACCAATTAAATTATTATTATTATTGTTGTTATTGATTAATTGTTTAATAAATAATATTTAATGTAAAATAATTTTTTTATTAATTAATATTCAATCAGATTAATTGGCAGTTAACTGTATCCATTGTAATTACTGGAGCCTTGCGAGGCAAATTTGTGGGTTGGATCGAGCTGTTACCTTTTTTGGGTGAATTGAAACCATGCATTAAAATTGTGGGTGGTTTCGGGACTAAATTTAATTTAATTTGCAATATTACATTTTTCTTGGCAAAGTTTAAAAATATTAAATTAGGGATAACTAAACTGCCTACATTTTTTGTGTTGGTGAATAAAGTCTATCTTGTATCAGATGATGTAAATTAGGGGTAAAAACTTACTGATATAAATGGATAAATATCTATGTTAATAGTTAAATGATATATCAATAATATGATTACGTAGATGTTAATGGGAAAAAAATGCATATCATGGATGACTGACGGCTTTAATTTTGGAGGAAAATAAAATTCATATTATTTTTAAAGCAAGCTTGTGCTTCCTAACGGTAACACGAAAATTTCTCACCACTTACCAAACTTGTATACATCATGCAACATATTCAGTTCAATGACACAAACTGTTATGCAGTCACATACGCATCAACAGACATTGAATCATATAAAATCAAACGACGTTCCTAAAAACTTCCTGATACACAACATTCACTGTTGACGTCTTCAATAACATTTCTTGATCATGTGGTACAATTTTCAACCCATCCATGCTTCTCATTCTAGACAATGCAACATATAATTTACCATGAGTAAAAACAGGTTTCGTAATATACAATCCAATATTCTTTAATGATTATCTTTGGCTTTTATTGATAGTCATCACAAAACAAAGGCATATTGAATATTGTCTACGCTTCCTTTTGAATGGCCAGCGGGTTTCTGATGGGTTCATATCCATCCTATGAATGAGAAGCTTTTTATTGGGATTTGACTCATTAAGTGTTATTGCTTCCATGATAGATTTACCAATGTTAGATAGACGAAGGCATGTACCATTACATAGTCATGATGCTTAACCTATGTTCCGTAACAACATGATAGGTACATCAACCTTCGATTGTAGTCTAAGTGGGGACATGCCAGAACAATAATGGTGTTCGAAAATTCAGTTGAGTATAAGTTCTCCATGCTATCATTGTCTTGAGAAGATTCGCATATTTTATCACAACTCAAGAATTCAACTGCCTCACTTGGAAAGATTGAGCACATGTACTTATTTATGCAATTTACCATTTCAATATGTGGTGCCAATATTGCTCTATTATTGAAGTATGAGTTTGATTTTGTAAGAGATCAACATATGTTGCATGAACAATCGCTTCGATAGGATTAGGAGATGGTAATAACAAAAAAAATGGTGGGCAACACTATCATCCAACTCTCCAACTTTTCCATCATCAACAGATAACAACCAATTTGAGAACCATTCCAACTTCATATTGACATCTGATGTAGAACTTGTTCTTAATTGCATGTTTTTCGTCAACATAAAAATAGTGCAATACTCTCACGGTTTAGATGAATTAATGCATGTGTCCACAACATTTGCTCTTGTCCTTTAAGCAGAATTTGTTTGAAGTCAGTACACATCAAGGTACTAAAAACTGGAACAGTCAGTGAACTGGTCAAGGTAATGATTCAAGGGTTAGTGAATCAGATTGGGGTCAATTCAGAGTCAGACCGGTAATAATTAATATATTATAATTTAATTAAAATGTATCAAAATATTTAATTTTAATTATGGATGCATAATATTCAATCTTTAAATAAATATCTAAATTACAAAACATTTATATGTATATAAAAATTTTTCTCTGTTATTTTTTTTCCTTTTCTTCTCCTACGCATGACCCGTACTTTCCTCTTGCTTTTTCTTAGTTATTTTTTTATCTCCTTCTTTTAACTCGTCACTTCCCTATCTCCTCTCCTCATGCATCACGAGCCTCAACAGTCAGTATTTTCTTTTCATTTACCCTTCCTTCACACTCATCACCATTCAGAGCATGAAGGTCAGCTTTCTTTTACACTTTGTTCTCTCTTTATTCACCAGTGTCCATGGCTTCTCCACACAGATTTGCTGAGTTGAAAGTAAAGCATGAATGGCGACGATCTAATGAGTTGCGTGGAGATCTTACCATCATAAACTAAGAAGAACGATGGTGAGGAGACAACCACAATAGTAATGGATCTCAACTTTTAGAGCATAATCTGGCAATGGTTTGTCCTTTTTCTTTGTTTCAAGTTTTTGAAACCACGGGAAGCTTTGAAAAAAAAAAGCCGTCTAACCCAGTATAATCGGTGGGTTATTTGGGTTAATCCCGATTTACTTTGATTGATGTCGAGTCACGCCAGTTCATTGTTATCTTGATTCTGTTAACCAACCGGATCAGACAAGTGACTAGTTTACCGGTTTTC